ACATTATTTATACATTTGAAACATATAGCTGTTTGCTTTATCGATAACTAATATTACCTCAAATCCTAATTATAAGAGCTAGTTGATAAATTTGAAGAGATTAAAAAAATAAGTTAAATTAGTTATTTGCCATAAATATGTGTTGTCTTTCCTAAAATATCCTTGCTAATCAATTATATTGGCTAGAATTACCACTATTAGAAGGACTACATTGGAAAAAAAATACATAAATATAAGAGATAAAGTAGATTGGGGTCTTTTATTTAGGATCAAAATAAAAATCAAATGAGATCTTATATTAAGAACCGGAGATAGTAATATATATTTGCAAAAAAAAAATTGAGATGCGGGCTAAAATTTACATATCTATTTCAAAACATAAGATTAAAAAAAACTAAAATTTACAGTATTCTTCTCCAAGAGCCGTTGGGAACACATACTTGTTTGCAATAACATAGAGGCTAGAATTACAGCTTTTTTTAAAATAATGCCCACGTCATTTAAATCCTGATATAAACTTAAACAAAAAATAATATAAGCAAATAATGATATTTAATAATTTAAATATATCTTTTGGGGAAAAAATAATTTAAATATATCTTTATTAAATGAACCTAGCTAACTTCCAAAATTGAATTTACTAATTTAAAATAAAACAATCATAGAATAACATCACATCATTATTCAACATAAAACTATTAATTTTTTTATAACCAAATATAGCTATTAAGATTGAAGATATTAAACAATTTTTCTTCAATATATGCATGAACTTTATGTTTATTGATAATGATCTATATATATATATATATATATATATCTTTATCTTATATATATATATATCTTAATTAGTATAGTAAGATCTTTTTTGTTATTGAATTTAAAGTCAAAATTTTGTATTTTAATTAATAATAATTAATTTATAATTTTATAATTGAAAAGTATAATTAATATTTAAATATTTAATTATATTAATAGATATATAAAATCCAATTCATCCTAATTTAATTTGGATTACGCAACTTTATGATAAATAAGGATTTAAAGTATAGGTTTAAGAAAAGCCAATAATCCGATTTGTGGCTTCCTATATAAACTCTCCCTCACAATACAAGCTTAAATAATAAATCTCTCAGGTTTGTTTGATCTGCATCAAGTAGGCATTCAAACATTCATTGTTCATGTTTAATTCATTTATTAATTTATTATTTACTTAGTTTCTAACTTATTTTTCCTTATATAAAATCAGGATACGATGAAGACAAACACTATGAATGAGGTCTCGCTTGGTGACTTACAAGTTTCGGATGCGATCAGCTACTTGAAAGCCGTGAAAGAAACATTTGGCAAAGAAAGGAGAAGATATGATATGTTTGTTGCAATCTTGAAAGACTTCAAAACCCAAAGGTACGGTAAACTAATCTCCGCAACTTTTATAATATTACATAGGGAAAACTATCAGAAGGAAAAACCATGAAAAAATAATGTGTATTCATACCAACACAAGGGTATGTAAGCGTAGTACAAGAATTGCCAATTAATTAGATTCGACTTTGAGATTTCTTTAGTCATTTTGCAAATTATTAGTATATTGGAACTTATATATTTGGACACCTTTAAGGGATGCATCATGGTCATTTACTCACCAGACTTTCTGCAATGTCTGGGTTGAATTACGATTCCCATCTATGGGCTCACGATTGCGAATACAAGAACGGAGGAGAATGAGCGGGAACCAAGGATAATTTAGTAATTTTAAATTTATATTTTTGTTGTTACAAGATTTGGCATTAATATAATTTTTGGTCCCTCAAATTTGCCCTTATTTTGGTTTTTGCCTTTCAAGTTTTTTTATTTAAAATATTGGTTCCTATAATTCAATAAATATCTGAACTATTTCGCCCATTTCGGAACCAAAACTTGTAGTTTAAAACCTGAGGGACCAAAATTAAAACTAGGACAAATTTGAGGAAACAAAAATTATATTAACCCTCCAAAATTTTAAATTTATATTTTAGTGTGTTACCTTTTTTCTGGGCCTTTTTCTTCTTTCAACTTTTAAGCCCAGAGTATTTACTTTTGCTTATCCATGCGTGTACATGCGTTTTTGTTTCAGGAGTGACGTTGCTGATTTCTTAGGAAAGATGGAGATAGTATTGGAAGGGCATGATTTTTTGATTTTGGGATTAAACATCTTCTTGCCCAGAGGATACGAGATCCCTCTCTCTTTTGATCAACATCAAAATTTGCATAACGTTGGCAAATGTGAGATGATTAAAGCGAAAAGGAATCAAAGGAAGAAGCCTTTTAACAATGACAAAAATAATGTTTATCATCAGAATCATCAGAAATATGATAATAACAATAAGAAAGATAGCAGCCGCAAGAAGCGAAAGATGGATCATGAAACGAAAGAAGATGATGGTAAAGCTAATAACAGAAGAAAGAGTGATTATTTATGGACAATAGAAGAAGAGCCTGATCTCTGGAAATGTGAACGTTATGGTATAAGCTACGTCCGCTTACCTGAAGATTATCAGAGTCCTATAGCTAGTGGGAGATCTAAGCTTGATGCTTCAGTGTTAAACGATCGCTTCGTATTGAACCCACAAGGTGATCAAGATTATTCCAAGTCCAAGAAAGTGTTCAATAAGTATCAGAAAACTTTGTTCAAAGTTGAAGATGAACAGTTTGAAGTGGACATGTTATTAGGGTCTTTGAGCTCAACGTGTGAACGTTTCGAGGAAGTGAATCAGAACATAGTTCAGAACAAGATCAATAATGTCAAGGGTAGACTTCAGATAGACGAATACTTTAGGGTTTCACATTTAAGACTGGTCGAGCGTATGTACGGTGAGCATAGTCTGGATATTCTGGAGGAGCTACGCAACAACCCAACGGTTACTTTGCCCAGAATCCTAAAGCATCTAAAAGAAAAATATGAGCAGATGAAACACAGTTGTTTAGAATTCAACAAGGTTTGGGCTCAAGATTACGCTAACAACCACGCCAAATCACTGGATCATTTCTCATCATAGCGTGGTTTTGGGCCATTATATTGTTCCTTGGATGGAAGAAGTTGTTTTCAGTTAGTATGTATGGTAGTTGAATTGAGTTAGTTTGGATGAAAGCGAAATTGATTTCCGATTATAGCTTTATTTTTTCAGGCCGTTGTTTTCTGATAAACCTGTTTTTAGGGCTGGAAAAAAAAATCAATTGCAGTACACTTAATTTTATACTCTCTCTGTTTCTTATTATAAGAGACGAATAACTGAATTACATTGATAAAAAAAACAGTTAAAATTAGTTAAGAACAATCAATGTGTAAAAAGTGCAATTTTTTTTCCAAAAATACCCTTATTAATAAGGAGAGAGAGCATGAGAGAAAACAATGAAATTATTAAAAGAAAGAGAAGTAGGAGGGAGAGAGAGTGTGAGTTGGAGACAAATAAATATGAGTAAACTAGGAAATCAACACAAAAAAATAGAGACAACTTTTAAGTGTCTCTTATATATAAGAACATGCCATAAGCATCAAATGTCTTTTATAATAAGGAATGGAGGGAGTAACATTTATCCGTCTTTCTCAGGTCCCTTCACTACTATTAATTATTTGAATGGGAATAAGAGAAAATAATCATATCAAAAATCAATATCTTAAATACATATATAGTAATATATGATAATAGTAGTAGTATTTTATTTCTTGACACTGCTTTTCTTTTATTTGGAGAATTAGACGAAACGAGTTGAAAGTTTAAACCCGAAAATCATTTTAAAAAATAAAAGTACTTATGGCTACCGGAGAAAAGTCTATTTTGTGTGTGTGTAAAAAATATTGAAGATGGCTGAATTATATACAACACTTAAATTCATTACTTTGAACACCGACACAACGAAGTAAAATAGCAGCCACACACAACAACAACAAAAGTAGAAGGAAAGAGAAAAAGCAACACCTAAGATGGCAAATCGGAGAAGAGTGTTTTTAACTTACCTTCCGCTTGGCTATGAAGTTTCAGGCTCTTAAAATCGCAATTGCCATGATGATGAGAAGTCACAACTTTTAGACAACAAAATCACCACCTTCAAATAGCAAAATGGCAAGGAGAGTTTAGCACACATTGTCGCCACAAGTTGAGATGTCCGCCGCGGGTTTCATTACGTATACATGTCGTCACTGCAAGTTTATCATTAGAGAAAAGAAACCGCAAGAAAGAGTAGAGTGCATCAGGTTTCCTGTCTTAGGACTATTCAATTTGATTCAAAATTATCCATTATCGTTTGTTAAAGGGGAGCAGATGAGTATAGACGACTTTTTTTTCTCCGTTTTTCAAGATAAATGAAAAAGGCAAAGGTCAAATGTATTTTTTGTGGTACTATAGTGTAATCAACTAATTCAAAATAGTTAAAAACACATTCAGGAGTTGTTAATAGTTGATAAAATTTAGGAAATGGGTAAAATCTAAATATCAGTAGTGAATTTTTGCTCAAGTATAAACGCTTAATATGAAATGATTATAACATATTCAAAACTTGTTAATACCCGATAAAGTTTAGAAAATGGGCAAAATCCTAACAACATTCATGAACATTAACTCAAATATAAATTCAAAATGATTAAAACCAATTCAAAAGTTGTTAATCCCTCCATGTTTTTCAAACAAGGTTTTTTTTTTGAAATAAATAAGAAGTTCTTTTTGTCTTTATCTCAAAAATTTGGGAAGCTTCTGCTAAGGACATTCCCCGTACGTCAACTTTAGTGCACATTTTGCATCCGTGTGTGTATATATAGGTTTGGGGAAAAAAACTACTCAAAGGCATAAAGGTCATTTGACAACATTTTTTAAATACCAAATGGACGGATTTGGTATTTTCAATATTGAAATCATTGATTTGTGATTTGTATATTTAAATGGTACATTTTATCATCTCCCTATATTTATCTATCATTTGCGGACCTAAATTTTTTCTACCAATATATGTACACATTTTAATCATTTAGCTAACAGTGATGCTTCTATTGCAATTATTTCCAAATGTTCGCTTGACAATTCAGGTTGAAGCAAGTGTTTCAGGTAGGAACTCGTCTAATTCAATTACTGCTGCTTCTTAGCTGAAGAATACAGGCATTTTATATCACCAGGAAATTAACTCAAATAATACAAAGATGTTCAAATTGAATAGTTTCTAGTTGCTTAAACTTTTATGATGCCAAGGAGCTATACCTCTTCCAGTCTCCAGAATTGAAGTACAAATAACTGTTCTTCTCAGAAAAATTTGATGATAAAGGCACAGTATTAAATCCAGAATATTGTCTGTTGACCTTTTCCCAGCATATATCATTGATGTACTTCAGAAGTTGATGCTTCTGTACAAACGGCTGAGCTGCATATTCCTCAAACGGCATCCACTGCAGCGAGAGTCATTATAAGAATGGATACGTGCCCTTGCTTCTAATGTTTTTGCTCTTTCAAGGCATTTCAAATTCATAATTAATACTCTTGTGTGGATTTCAGCAAAAATAATGCAACGGCTAGGAAAATAAAGCATGGAAGATGTATTGATAGAAATCTCAACTCGAGTTGAAGTAGTTCTCAATATGATATTAAAACCTCCATCACCAAATAGTCAAGCTTTTGATCTTTGTTAAAATTGAAGTTACAGCAGAAAGTATGATATGCTTCGCCCTCATTTTACTCTACAAGTATAAAGGGCTTTTGTATCAAGGTTGCTTTAAAAATTTAACCCAAAGGATATTTGGCAGAGCGGATATGTTTGAGATATTAGTTAAACTAAGGGCCCAATTGGTTGTTGGAGGCGCTCCCCCCCCCCCAAAGGCCCCAGTAAAGACCTATTAGAAACAATCCTAATTGAGGTATAGTAAGATACTAAATATAAATACCTTTCCTAATAAGAATTTGAATCTTAGTTCACTATGTTGTAAGGGACTAGCTGTAACATCCTGAGTTTTATCGGGTTTTAATAGCCTCTTTTGGTTGATTTTGAGGATAGATTAATGATTTAATCTTGATCTTGGTGTTTGGATTGGATTTGAGGTATGTTGGAGGAATAGGTGAACGTACCCCTCTCAGGGGAGAGTATCCTTTCGGGAAGGTTTCGCCACGGTGAAGGTAGGGTTATGCCGCGACGAATGTTTTCTGGGCTAGCGAGAGTTTCCTCTCGGGAAGCTTTCGCCGCAGCGAAGATTGGAGTTCGCCGCGGCGAAGTCAGGTTTTCAAGCGAGTAATCCCTCTCAGGATTAGTTCGCCGCGGCGAAAGGTCGCAAATTTATATAGATGCTGGAGGGTTCAATTGTGCGAAAATTAGAAAATCTGAAAGAGGAGAGAGGAGCTCTGCTAGGGTTTCGGTGTTGAGGCTTGAGAAAGACATTTCTAAGGATCCATTACCTCAAGTAAGTGATTTTAACCTCTAATCTACTTTCTTTCTTGGAATTTCTGAAGATTTTTTGTGGAACCCTAGGATTTTCTAAGTTGTGATGGAATTGAGGTTTGTGACTGATTGTTTTAAGTTTAATTGATTGCTTTGGGTTAGTTTAAGTATTTAACCGGTGTAGTTTTTTTGGATTTAAAGAATCTTGAATTTTTGGAGCTAGGGTTTATGGAAATGGGAGATTTGGGATTGAGGATGACAATGTAGAGGTTGATTTTGAGTTTTGTGATTTGGGTTATGTTAAGGAGGGTTAAATTGGATGTTTAATCGGTTTAGATTGTTATTAGAACTTCAATTGTTCAAAATAGATGTTTGGGTGTAGAATTCCTATAGTGTGTCCTTGAGGTTATGAAATTTAATGGATGTTTGGAAAGGAATTAAGGTTTTAATGGATTGGTATGATTTTGGAGTGTTGTTTTGATGGTTATACCCTTTGAGTTGGGTAGAACTTTGGTTGGAGCTAGGAATTTTGTGTCCCCAAGTGTTGTTTTGGCCACATTATTAGTTTGAAAGCTAATACATGATAGTTGTGTGTTTGTGTGCTTGTGTAGACCGGTTGTGAGTCTTGTTGGTGCACGGGGTCACATTGTTGGTTTATTGTTCCTTACTCAGGCGAGAGGTAACCACTTTCCAATCCTTAGTACTTGCTTCTGTGGTATTGTGAGTAGATTTATGTTTTGTACTCCGAGTAACAATTATGTTCAAAGTGTATGTTATATATAAAAAGGGAAACCGTCTTGTGGGGTTTCGATTGATGATGAATGAAATCTTGAAATTGTGAAGGATATGCCACTGAATGAAGTTACTCATGAAATGTTCAGTTACTATTTGATTATGATTTGAGCATGATGCATGAATTGGGAATTAGTGAGAGTTTTTAATATTTACTACCACGTGGTAAGGCCTCCATTAATGCATGATGGTTGGCTCAATACGTCCCCCATAGTGAGGGATAGGCCTTTTGGCTCCTTATATCCCCCAGAGTGAGGGATAGGCCTTTTATGGCTCCTTACGTCCTCCATAGTGAGGGATAGGCCGGGTTCGGCTCTTGAAAATCCCTCAAAGTGAGGGATATGGTTGAAGGGAATTGCATCATTTCACTCGCATGAATTGTTGTGGCTATCTTGTTATCATATTACTTGTGAACTGCCCTACTTGATACCTCATGAGTACCTATTTAGTAGTACCTAGAATTGGAAAGATTGGTTACTAGGACGTTTGTCTCATCCCGTGGTTTACAATGTTTTCAGGGGAAGGTTCCGGGTGTGGGCCATCGGGAAGAGACGCAGAGGCTTGAGCTTGGTTAGCTTTAGGCTTCTAGCCTTTGTATATGTATGGCTAGTATATATTGTCACATTTAGGACTGCTTTTTGAAATATTTGACTACCCGGCCTTATTGTAAACTGGAGAGAATGTATCTCCTTATTTTGGTTGGCCGGAGGCCATTGCTAGTGTCTTATGAAACTCTAGATTATTTTGTTGGGAATCATTTAGATGGACTGATGTGATGTCTGTTGTTACCCGGGCCGGAGGCTCGGAGGCCCAGTAGATGTAAATGAATGATTTCAGTTGCATGCAACGGACTTTGAGTTGGAACCGAGTTTAAATGTTGATTTCTAAAGTTATGCAAATTTCTTTCTACTATGGTAGTTCATTTTATCAGCGTTCCTTTTCTACCATAGTAGTGGTGTTATGACTAGATTATAATGTTTTATGGTGAGTTATAAGGTTATGAGGTTAAGGGTTTTTACACTAGCCGTTTCTGTTAGACCCATCCCCTATTGGTAGGCACTTTGATAAAGTAAACAAGTACTCTAAGAGGAAAATAACCCTTCTGTATAAAATAATATATATTTACACACACACACATATAAAAACTAACGAGCTATCACATTTATTTATAATGGGTATCACATTACCACATTCCATTTCTTTTTCACCTGCTTAAGCATACAAAACTAAACATGTTCCTATTTCTTTCTATATAATCCAAGCATGGATCGAAAGACTCCTTTCAATTCCCTTCATTCCCTTTCATATACTCCCTCTATAGTAACCACATGACCCTTGAGCAAATTTTGCAGTCACCCAAATTTTTTGCTGAACTTTCACAACTTCCTTTCTATGAGTTAAAAGCTTACATACAGCTCTCATAAAAACAAAAACTAAATTACACATACCTTCCTCAAGTTTTGGTGAAATTACATGCATGCCATTCAAAAACACAAGTAAATTACAAAATCTGCAATGAGTTTTGATAAAACAATACTGACCTTCATTCTTTTTTTTTTTTTTTAAATAATATACCTCAGTTTCATTTTGGAGGAATGATATTTAAAGTCCGAATAAACCCATTTAATGATACCTATCCCAAAACATTTTGATGGAAGATAAGCTGCAAATATCTATTTAGACAATTGCAAAAACATGAGTCTTGATAGCAAATTACTGCAAGTAGCCTGTGGCACATTAGTGTCCTCACCTAGTGATTTGCAACTAAAACTATTACGTTTGCAACTGTTTGAATATATATTTGCAACTTATCTTCCTTGAGGATATTTTAATATCATTCAATTATTTGGCTGTCACTTTTGGGAATACAAAAGTCCTTCTGAGATTATATTAACAACTGGGCAAATTTTTTTTTATTATTATTTTTTTTTTTTTTTTTTTGCCCCTCTCAAAGTCCATTTACAACGCTTAGAGTCTTCTTGTCAGAAGATAATCTGGATTGCTTTTCAAAAGTTGCTTTTGGTTTTTTGAACTTTCGGTTACTCTCCCCCCCCCCCTCCCCCTCTTTTTTTTTTTTTTTTTTTCCCTGGTGAACTTTCTTTCGGTTACTTTTCAATGCAAAAACTACTCTAGGTTACTTCTCAAATAACTTTTAGCTTATCAAACTGACCTTTTCAAAGATGTATCCCAACATAAATTGTTACAACAACTAACTTTCACCAAACTGATTTTTGGCAAATGACTTCTGATAAACAAACTCTTCACAAACTAAAAATCACATACTTAACCTTTTTGCGATCTATCATCTTCCAACTATTTAGAAGTCCATGTATTTTGAAAATAGAAAAAATGTTGGTACAATTTCAATATCTCAAGAATGCATGATAATTTACTTAATGTTTCAAGAAAGTTTGCTCAAAGTTCTCGAAAGAGGGTAAATATGTAAATTTTGGCAAAATTCAAGGAGTTGTATCATTTTTTAAAATAAAGGCAAATCTATGTAATTTTAATAAAAATAGTGTGATTTAATGTGTTACCCGGTGTCTTGAGAAATGAATCATATTATTCATGGTTTCTACGAACTGAGAATTTTTCTGCCAACTTCGTAAGTATTGAGAATTGCCAGAGTTCTTATCTTACATATACATATATAGATTTAAAGACCATCTTTGTAAAACTCATGGCCTTCGTTAAGCTTTTATGTTGAAATAGTCATAATGTGAGGGGAGAAACATAAATGATGGCTTAAAATGAAATAAAAATTAAGAGAAAAGATGATATCTCGATCCAAAACCGTTGACCATTCTAAAGAAGCAAGAACGAAAAACCATGATTAGTTAACTTAGCTTTAACCTTATAGTACACACATACCTGAGCAGACTCTAGTTCCACATCTTGGATTTGAATGTCAAAAGAAAGTGGGCGCAGCATGCACACAAAGAACAGATCCGACTTCTCAAAGAATGACTTGTGACTTTGTCTGAAGACCACAAGAAGAAGAAGATAATGCTTAGCTATCTGCATTGGTGTGGTTCTCGAGATAATAAAGTTAAGAACATGAGCAGTTCCTAGCTTTCCAGTATAGAACAGTAAAATGTGCAATATGACGTCCCAATCATGGTGCATTTCATTAAAAAAAAAAAAAAAAAAGGGCAAAGAAAAGGAAATTTCTAAAAATTTATGCCCCATTTCATTGCACTTGGAGCATGTGATGCTTCCTTATAGTATCTATGCTTCATAAAGTACCAACAGAAACATTGGCAAATTTAAGATTATTACGATCACCGTCTCCAACCTAGAATAGAAATGTCAGTCCATTGTTAATTATGAAATAGTAGAAATCTGATAATTATTTAGGCTCCACCGGATTTTAACTACATAATGTTGATAGACCAGTCCATTACAGCAATATCTGGCTCTCAATCTCAAGGGCAAGAAATGATAGAATTCTACCCAAACATAATGTTGATAAACCTTATGTTAGTGCCTTGTCATGCTTACTCATTGGATCTATGCTTATTGGAGTACCCAAAAGCATTGGCAAAGTTAAGACTAGTACATTATAAACTATAACCTAGAATAGAACTTTCAGTTGATTAGCAGTATTAATTATGAAATAGTTGAGATTTGAGAATTATTGGAGCTCCATAGAACATAATGTTGAAGGACAGCCCTTTTCATTAATCTTTGGCTCCTAATCTCCAGTGCAAGGAAAGATAAAATTTTACATAGCATAATGTAGACGAACCTCGTGCATCTAAGCTAGTAGGTGTTTAGTTCAAGGGTAAGAAAGGATAGACTTTTACATAAAGATGCTACCTGAATGCTAATACCTCCAAAAATTCTGAGTCAACCTGAAAATTTATCATCAAACAACTGATTTCAGGACCAGTCCACATTTAACTTTGACAAAAGAGAAAACTTACTCCTGTTTCTTCTTTGACCTCTCTTACGGCTGCTTCACAAATATCCTCTCCCTGAATCAGTCATTGAATGGGTGGTGGATTATATACTCAGCACAGCTTATGACACTGTAATTAGAAGGACACCCAAAATAGAAACCTGATCAACAACTCCAGTAGGGAATTTCCAGACTCCAGTTCCCTGAAATAGCCCAGTTTTTTCTTGAACTACTAGGACCTAGGATCACATAATATGAGAGAATAAGTCGATGTAGAATATTAACAATAAACTATATTATGAATCCTTGGGTAAATTGCATCTTAAGACTTGTGTCATCACAAATTTATGCTCAGACCTTAAAGACCATAGTTACTTGTCATGACCAAGATATCATTAGAATTTAAGGGGAGTTTTAGGAAAGTTACTATTACTATGAAGCTTTAGAGAAGTTATTGCAATTCTCCTAAACATTTAATAAGAACTTTCCTAAAACTTGATAGTAACTAAGGACTTTGGATAATTATAAGGTCTTTTAACGTAATTTTCCTAATATTTGGAGGTTTAAGACTACTTATTTTCCGGTGAAGTTAACATTTTGGAAATTCACCATACAGAAACACAGGTGGATTCACATCCACCTAAGCATGAGGGGAAGCATAGGGCAAACAGATTTTTGTAGGAGAAAATTAAAGTTAAATCCTTGGGGTGGTCTCATCTAGTGATACCGATAACCCATTCACAGCATTAGTTCCAGCAGCAAGGGCATAAGGTTCTACTACATTTATAAACCGCCAAATGAAGAGATGCACGGTGATTTTTCCCTTTCACTTTCTCAAAATATATTAAGTTCTCATCAGAATAGAAAAGAATGAAAAGGGAGATAGGATGAGAAAAGAATTTTTATAGATGAGAAATAATCCTTCCACATTTAGGGGGAAAAATTAATTAGGGCTTATTGTTTATTGACGACAACAAATACACAATAGGCATTGCATGAAACATTACTTCCACCTCTACCTTTTCTTCCCCATGACACTCAAGGCCTAAATATACCAGTCCATCACTATTTTACTTCATGACAGTTGGAGATATTAACATTTTATCTCGAGAATAAAGCAATATTGATCACAGCCTCACAACCCAGTTAACCTAAAAACCTGAAATAGTATATTATTATTAAATGTTGGAAAATACCTCTTGTTTTCTGTTCATCACAAATGCACCGACACCCACTCGGTGAGATGCATTTGCTGGAATAGTGTTTGCACCTTCAGGAATCCAGTATACCAGCATTAAATATTTTGGTTCTGCATGGTGGTACCAGAAGCCTTCCTGTATGGAAGTGCCAGAGAACCAATGGTTAATACGCAAAATTAGCACCCAACAATCTAAGTGGAACTGACGATTTCACAAGTCAAACTAACATCTCAAAAGTAAAACACTAAATTCACCTTAACTAGAGGCTCAACAAGATTGACAAGATGGATAGGTAATTTTATCCAAACACCCTTCTTGCCCTGCAAGATAAGGTTAATTCAGTAATTGCATCAAATATGTTTTACAGTACAAATTCTACATTTCCAGAACTTGAAGTACTAATAAAGATAAGCCAAGAGAATCTGGCATGGCAACTACTAATGTAGTACATGATTCAAGTTTGGCTGCATATGCATGATAGGGTTATCAGTTTTTCCTTCTCTTTATTGTATTTGGTTAACATTTACTCCTAATTTGCGTGTCCAAACAAAAACAGCTATATTAAAATTTAAAATAAGAGTGTTGACGATCAACATCTGTGACTCTACTAATTGTATGATGTGATCCTAGGTGGCATCCTAGGTAGCACCCCACATAGCATCTAAGTACAAGGTAGCCCCCAAGGTGGCGTCAAGCATGACAACCAAATCCTAGGTAGCACCTAAGATCACCAAGGTGATATACAAGTCATCAAGTATCCCCCAGATCCATTGTATGGTAGAAGGCAAAATGCAATGATGGGAAGACTTCCTTTAGCGGCTTGGTGGCGTGCAGACTCAGTGGAGGAGGCTAGGAGGCATGAAGGCTTCCTTGTTTTGGGTTTGATGGCATGAAGATCCATTATTGGATGGAAGATGGCATGTCATGTGTATATTAGAGTCCAATATCAGTCTAGAGTCCATTTAGTTACTTTCATTTGTTTTATTTTAAGTTTAATGGGCAAAACCTTCAATTAGTAGGTCCACGTCATTGTATTTGCTTTATATTTGATACTATTTATGATTATAATTAGACAGACAAACAGCTTGGCTAAGTCAGACCCCATTCAAATAGCTTTTCTGTTCTTTTCCTCTCCTAACAAAAACATATTTCACACACAATCATTTAAGATAGCAAACAAATGCTTATAAATATTGGTTAAATAAGAAACCTTGAAAATAAAAAATCTGTTTAAATAGATAGTTTCTTCTAAAGTTGGTTTCCATGTAAATCAACCAAACATGATGGCTAAGCTTAGTGAGTGAAATTTACATATAAAATGAATGAAACACATCAATATGAGTCCAGTATAACGAATGAGTTGGATGAACTATATTAACTTCTAACAACAGTGAATATGGGATCACAAAACTACCTGTAGCGTGTATATTTCTGTGCATGTATTACTACCACACAACACAAAAAGCAAAGCAGAAAAAGATAGATAAAATAGACAATAAACACAAATTAAATTACCCGAAAACAATATGTTTCCTTTTATTTTGATGACCTCAGAAGCTTTTGAGAACCATAACACGAAGTACAAACAATACCCATCTAATTATGCATAATTACACATGGGGCAAAAAGACCTTATGATTTCTCTGCATTTGTTCCATTACGTTCCACCATGATAATAAATTCAGAATAAAGTTGACTATGACATGAAATTAATGCTAAAAATCTACCAGCTGCTTCCAGTGGGAAATTGAAGCTCTCAGAATTGAGATGAAGGTTGTAGGGTCCATAGGCTCATCCATTTCGACAATAACACCACTATATTTGTCGTTAGTTGATGTTAGTATTTTAACTTGTTCCAATTCATCTGCTGCAGCCACTTGTGTAGCTTTTGATATTGAACTTGTTGAGCTTGCCATGTGTCGAATAGGATAAGGTGTAGTCACTATAGTCCTGACTACAAGGCAACGTAAGGAAAAGTTACATTCACCTCCATGCCTAAGAGTAATTCAGTTGCAATAGTAATTCTAGACAAAGGTTAACAGTATTAAATAGACATTTTATTTAAAAGGAGAGGATAGGCTACCAATCCTCATGACAAATTCCTTTTGATGGTTAAAAAAAGATGATTCTCTTGAGAGAAGCTCTCAAGAAGTATATTGTTTGATGCATTTTGAGATTCTCACATTAAAATTAAGAATAAGAATGAATATCCAAAACATAGATTAAATGTTGTGAAAGCTCATTCTCTTGAGAGATAAAGCTCTCCATCGGATTACCATAAACCTATAAATTGGTGGTGCTAAACAAGATCTTTCAAGCCTACCGAGTTGTTTTACATTGAAAAATGCTGAATGCTTTCAGAAAGGGCGTGATTTTAATATCAGGAAATATGTTAACTGGAACCAAACATCTATTAACAATATGCTTGACGCCTCAACCAATCTAAATGCAAGGAGTAGCAAAAATGCCAATTATGCAGGAGAATCACAATCCGTACAAGCTGTTGCTTTCCAAGCTTTACTAAGAAAGTATTGGACAAAACACGATCAATTTCAAACATTACTTAAACCGAAGATGAGACTTTCTTATTTTCAAATTTGGAATGAATCAAGATTTAATAGAAAGTGAAGTATGAAGATATATCCTAATCAAAGGATGCACTGGATAAAACAAATTGGTGCATCACATGTGGGCCGAAACATAAGCAATGCTACAGACGATTTAATATGTAAAACTAGTTAATAAAGAAGCTACTAAAAATGTGACAACAAGAATACTTGAAGAAACAAGATTTTTTTCTTTTCGGTAAAACGTGTGCCTTTTCTTTTGTTTTCTTTTCTAACTAACAATGTGATACTGAATTATAAAATATATCATTATGCTGTAACAGTCATTAATTTTTATTATGAGATCAAATAGCAAACACCTAAAAATTGGACTTTAAAATAACTTCCTTGGATAAAAGTAAAGTTGGGAAAATGTAATACAAAAGTGAATGCTTCTGTAAAATGGCAAAAGCCAAAGAAATATATAAAAAATAAGTAAGAACCCAAATAAATATCCACATAAGGATCGTTGACAACTGGCATAGAGAACAGAAGGAACTGAAATCAAAGAAATAACTATGTTTATGTGTTCCATGATATCCATAGAAAAGTACAAGGATTTCAAATTGGGTCTCCATCAATCATTAGAAAAGAGCGGTCAGTTGAGACATGTAATAATAGAAACAAGCCATAGCCTGTCTCAGTACCTCCTGTAGCTTCTCTTCTTATTGCTCCAAGTGAAGATATCAAACGCTGACTTTTTGCAAAATAATGATGATTTCCAGATCTTAAAAAGAGGAATGATCGCGTCGGAAGCAGTCTGAGCATGTTATTTGATTGTGCAAATCAAATAACAAATAGACTAAAATCTCAAAGATGTCATACTTTCAGCTTCCACATTACTTTTTCCTCCCAATTTCCATATACCTGCGTAAATAGTCCTCAAAGTTCTCAGTGGGTGTGCTAAATTCACCCCCTCTGGCTTTGGCTTGATAGAGGGGATGGGACAGATCTTAATGTTCATTTTGTTGGCGGAAAGAAAAGGGACTTTTCATGATCCCTTCTTTGGTCTGAAAGGAGAGGGGAGGGGAGATAATAAATAATTTATCATTACCCTTACATGTTAGTCTCTCTCTCTCTCTCTCTCTATATATATATATAGATATATATTTTATATATTTGTCCCTTGTACAAATTAATCCTACAAGTTAACCCAAGTTGCATAATTCATGAAAACTCACACTCACTCAACATATTGTCAATATGTGTTATAAAAATATTAATGAAATGATGATAATTTTTTAAACTCCCTTAAGCCTCTTTGAATACACCTCAATTCTGCATAGAATCTAATATACCATCCAAAGGAATGGGTTAATTCATCGTATAAAGTTTGTCGTCCGTTCTAAATTTGTCAAAATATATCAATAAATTAGTCAATAATCAGACCAGCAGCTCCAAAGTCCAAACTAAATTATAAATGAGACAGACATAATACGCAAAAAGCCGTAATCAAACCAAACATCAATTATAAGAAAACATGTAAATTAAACTAGTGCATATCGAATCAGACCAACTATGGTTATATCTCCAAAACCATGATTATATCTCTTCGGACCAATCCAACGAACAGTTTATAAGGGAAGAGGGCAAAAAACAAGATTTTACCAGCCATAACATATGGGAAGACCCATCGAAAGAAGAAACGAGAGCATAATCAGCGATGGGTGACGCACATAAAGCATAGAAAGGAGAGCATAAATAAGCCATAACAGACGGACAAGAGTTTATCGCCAGTTTGTGCAGAGCATATCTATAAATGAGAAAGGAAGCACAGAAAGCACCAAAAAGAAAATGGTCATAAAGGAGAAATCAGATCAATTTGTGTGGATATATAAAGGCAGAGGAAATATACAAAAATCGAGTAAAATCACCGGCAGTGGAAAGAAAGGACAACGGAGGGAAACTCACATTAAAGGAGAGGAGGCCACCGCAAGACGAGGTGGGGATCGCACATAGACGCCGGAAGCTGGGTGAGTGAAGCAAGGGGAACAAAAAGGTCCCCACTTTGTGAGGCGGAGTGGCAGCAGAGAATTTCCTCCCCGAACCAAGGGTGTGGAAGCAGAAGCGCGAATGATTGATTTCGTCCAGGAGCACGCTACTTGACTTGATCTTATCTATTGCTTGCTTGCTTACACAATATTGCGCGAATTTTCAGTTAAGTTGTGGAGAAGAAAAACTCCGACTGTACTGAGGCTACTAGTTTTTGGGAGAATTATAATTATAATGATATTCTAAAAAAAATTACTAAAAAATTTTAATAACAACCTAAACAGTTTATACTAAAAAATTTCGAAATAGAAAATGACAACTTTTAAAACTTTTTTATAATTATTTTTTTTTCTTAGCATCTCATTATAATTCTTCCTTGATTTTTTATATAGGGGTTATGATCCTACGTACCTCTTTAGAAACTTTTTCTTTTTTGGTAAATACCTCTTTAGAAACTTTATTGATAAAGCTATATTACTTTCTTATAAGAATTGGCAAGTGATGGTTCACTGCACTCATAAAAAGAATAATTCTATGACTAATTGCCTTACCAAGTTATCACATAAGGGGGAAGGGAATTATTACATCTCTGATTACATTCCATCTTTCTTAATGTAAGATGGATGTTGATGAAAGAAGCCTATTTTTCTCTGCTTGTAACCTTGACTTTGTTCTTTTGTGATTAATGGATATATAATTTCTATATTCTTAGACAAAATTTTAAAATTGTCCAATATTCCTCTATATAACCGGATAATTGTGCATTGGTGGGAGAAATTATTGCATGCTCTAGCACCACGTCATCCGTGGACTAGCCAATAAAAACATGATACCACACTCACATTAATTATTAGGAAGATGCTTTGTTGGCTTTAAGAGGTGTTTTCATTGAAATCAAATTATAGTTTTAAAAATAATTTTACGGCATGCAAAACAAGTATGTGAAAAGAATTTTATCTCAACTTGTATGAAAGCGTTTTGAAAAAGCACTTTTGAGAGAAACCAAAGTTGTAAACTCACCTAAATACTCTCAACAATTCCAAAACTTATTAAGATTATCAATGGATTACAATTGTGCTGGAATAGAAGATTTAGGACTATTATAGTGCACTCTGAATGTACTGAGACAATTAATTTGTGCCTTAGGGGTTGTGATGTTAACTACCCCTATAAGATTATTGTGCAGAATACTAGACTTAATGTTAATATGTATTGGTAGGTTTCAGTTAGGTATAACATTAGGGAAAATTTCATTTTAGCAAATCATTCAGTAAAAGCTACTCATGGCTTGAATGAGAATTTTTGTATCTTTGATCAATTTTCACCTATAATGCATGAGGGGGATCTCATTAGAAAGGAGTAACTTCTGTATTGTTGTTTTTACTAATATTGTTGTTAGTTCATATTTGAAATCTTTTGGAAAATATTAAATATCTCTTCAATTCCCTTCACCCCTGAACCCTAAATGCTTTGTCAAATCAATTTCTAAAAAAACCCTATCTCCATCTCTACTTTTATTCTTCATCCATTCTCCATCAAAATTAACTTTTGAGAAACTTTCTCACTCTCTTTCTTTGTCTCGTTCCATTGTATTTTGTGTCATGCTTGCTTTTCTACTGATTTCTTCATCTAAAGGTTGAGATTACCTAGTCAAAGGCGCTTAAGATTCTTGGACACTCCCTTGTCCTCTCCAAATTCCCTTAGTCGTCATTAGGCTTGTAAACGACATTTCAAAGTTGGCTATTTATTCTATAATCCTGAAGGGATGAACGAGGTTTAAGTATGGGTCTTAAAAAATAAATATTTCAAATGTAGTAGAGAAGCATTTATGTTTTCTTTCATTTTGCAATTGGACTTTCTTAGTCTGTTTGCTTTGGCCTTTTGCTCTTAGCATTTTATCCATTGTTGTTTTGTTATATTGTACTAGTCTCTCTATGGTTATTTAATAGTAATGAGAAGTGTTTAGTTTGACCAAAAAAATGATGTAGAGAAGAATAATAGAAGAGACATAATAATGATAGAAAGAGAGAGTTTTTGGTAAGTTGATTTGACACATCCAAGGGGAGACAAGAGAACTAAAGAGATATTTTATACTTCTAAATGACACAAACGAGGGAAGAAAGACATATAACATGTAGGATTTAATGAGGGCAAGGTCATGTGCCTTTATTAGGCAAGTAGACAAGAAAGAACACCCATAGCATGAAAGAATTTCTCTATTGGTGTCATGGATTTTCTTTTTTTCTTTTTATTATAGGGTGTGGTTGCGTTTGGTGTGTGCGCTTTGCTAAACTAGTATGGCAAGTTGCTTTTTTTTTTTTCCATATTTATGTACAGGCCATGATCAGTGTGGCAAGTTGCTTTTTTTTTTTTCTTTTTCATATTTATGTACAGGGCTATGGTCAGTTATTTTGTAACATCCTAAGTTTTAATCCTGAGGTTTAGCAATCTCTTAAACTCTTATTAGAGTAATTGAGTGCTTAATCTTGAGTTTTGATGCTAAGTTTAGTGTCAGTGGAGTTAAAGTTGGAATAGAGGGTGTATTGAGGTGAACAACCTTGTTCTGGGTTTTTCACTATGGCTAAAGGGGAAGTTCGCTACGGTAAACCTTGCTAGGGAGAAAAAGGAGTGTCTCAGGTTTCTTCACCATGGCAAAAGAAGGAGTGTGCCATGGAGGAGCTGGCCAGAGTAAGCGAGTGACCCTTTCTGGATATTCTTTTGCCTTGTGTAACACCTCATGTTTAAATCAATTAACTTTCCTTGTGAAAGCATTTGGAATCACTTTTGAAGGCTACAATTGATGAAAAATCAAGTTTGAAAATTTTCATTTACGGGTTACTATTCATTGTTACCTTAAAATGTGACAAACTTCGAAAATTCATAACTAATTGTAGAAAAATTGAAATTGAGTGATTCCAAGTTCTACAGAAAGCTCTTTGGATAAAATTTTGAGGAAAAATAATTTCTAAACTGATTGCCTTGAAATACGAGCTCAATTTCCTTTGAAAAAGTTACTGTTCATTTGGTCATTTGCGGATTTTACTGTATTTTTGCCTAACTTTGGAAAGGCATAACTTTCTGCTCGGTTATCGGAATCGGGCAAACTACCCCTCATTTTAAAGAGAAACATCAGATCTCTTTTCTTGCCAAATCTTATGACCTAACTCACTCGTTTGATAGGTCAAATTGGAGCTACAAATTCACTACTCCAGGACTTACGTTTTATCCCTTAACATCTCTTTAATTCTTTTTATTTCTTTGGCATACATAACATGGCCTTACTCTTTCCCGTTCATGCTCATACACTTTCATTCATGACATAAATATTATAATAAAATACATGGCATCATTAGCATCCATAACATAGTTCACAAAATAATAGAATTATACATTTATCAACAGTCTCATCCATTAACAAGAATAATTCTCCGCTTACTTCTCCTTGGTTCTCATGCCATTATTCCCATTGTTGATTGACCTAAATGGTTGGTTAGGGAGGGGTGAGATTCGGGAGAATCTCAGTAGCAAACACTACCTATAAGCATGCAAGACATAATGCACATGCATGACATGTTATAACATTAACACATGAATGCCATGGAAAGTAAGCTAAAGCATTTCATGCTTCCATAACATATTGCCAAGGCAAAACATAACATAAACTTGCAAACATAACTTTGTAAACATTTCATCATAGCTTAGTCACATCATGGCAACACAATCACATCATGCAAGCATACATATCAAGCACACAGTATAGGTAAGTTCACTACCTTGTGACATGGCTTTCCCCTTGCTTTTCCTTTGATTCCCTTATCTTTCCAACCATGTGGACATTTGGTCAACATCACCAAACATCCTCTTCGATGTTCCAAAGGTCCTAAACATAGTCACATTGATCATACAATCCATTAGGACCACTAGATTATATAAAGTTCAAGACTAGCTTTCTTGAACCTCAACCCTTTCTCTTAGTCTTAGGGTTTTCTTTCCAACTTTTCTAACATAAATCTTATCATTTCCCATCCTTAAGATCCATTTCTTGTCAATGAGGACCACTTTAGATGGCCGTAGATTCAAGAATACCAAATTTGGAAATTTTGCTTCGTGGGTACTGTTCACGCAGAATTTTCAGAATTTTTGCTCAACTTTGAAAATTCATAATTAATTCTAGAAAAATCCAAATTGAGTGCTTCCAAGTCTCACTGAAAGCTACTTAAGTTAAATTTAAGGTAAAAATAGTTTCAGGAACCAATTCTATGCCAAACAGTACCGGAACTGTACGGAACGCGAAACTCTTCCAAAAGTTCAACACTGTTTCCAGATTTCAAACCCTAACTTTGAAAAATCACCATAAATCGTACACATATCCAAATGAAGTGTTCTACCCATGAATTTAAAGCTCACAGAGTGTACTTTAAGCATACAAAATTTTGGAATCAGATAGGCACAGTAACTAATCCGAAATAGGCATAAAATCAGGTGCTATAACCATCACATACCTTGTTTTAGAGCTTGATCTGGCTTGGAACCACTTGCCCTTTCTTTCTCCCTCTTCTTTCTCTCTCTAGAAACCATTTTTCAAGAGCCTCCCCATGGATTCCTTATGCTTGGACGAAATGGTAGGGAGGGGAGGGGGTATTTATAGAAAAACAGACTGAATCTGGACCGTTGATCTTAAAAATACGTGGCTCGATCTGGACCGTCCATTTTCTCTTTTGATCTTACGGTGACAAGTGTCCTATGACATCATGCTTACCTCATAATGATGACATCATGCTTACATCATCAAGCCACATGTCTTTAATCCAACCGCACATGTGTCTTGCATCCGACCGTACATGTGTCTTCCATCTAGCCGTACACGTAATATTTTCTTTTTCTCATCTAACCGTACACTTGTCACTTTCATGTCCTTTCATCATTTATGGCATTAAAATAGAGAGAAAATAAATGAAAAATTCGTGCAAAAATATTTTCTTAATTATTTCTCCACCTATCAAGCCAATCTTGCACCGTATCGGATACTTTTCAAGTCCTGACTTACCCTGTACCACCAGGACATGTTCTGACACTATTTTCTCATCTTAATAAGTACA